TATTATAAATAAGCAATGTGGGAGTGAGACTTACATTTAAAAGTTGAGGTCGCTTACCGTGACTATGAACAGCTTATGTAGCAGCTTCATAAATTTCGTGCCTGAGTGCTTGTTTTTCACTCTGCAAAAAGTTTCTTATGTGTGGGATAAGAGGTTTAGATATGGTTTGATTAAGTTGTTGACGAGAACTTGTGATGATTCATGAACTTGTTCTGTCTTTTCTTATTGATATACGACGCGTGCGTACGCTTGTAAAATTTGAATATCCCGATGAACTCTTTTGAAAGAGAAGATAAAAGCTTACTAGTTAATCAAAGAATATAAGACAAAAAATTAGCTTTTATATGGCCCAAGTTCTTTCTAACAATATACGAATGCAAACATAATTTATGCAAATATAAATAACAGACAATTATAAACAAGCATCAGTGATGATCAAAGTTAAAAGAGTTATAAAAACTTTGTCGTTTACATTTCTGTTTACATTTCTATTAATTCTCTGTCGGAATAGAGAATATATCAAAACTATTTTCAATATATCTTTAATGTGTTGTTAAGGCTAAATACCGCATGTAGTAATGAAATTAAGATCACATGCTAATCAAATGGCATTGATTCATTAAACAAGCATGTTGTTTGTTATATAGATTTAAATAAGTTAAACACTATAACTTGAATTTGAACTTCTAATGACAAATTGTTCTTAGGTTTTTCCTAATAATATACTCGTAGGACAAATATAATCTTTTCTTCAAATACGTCTACTTTTTCAGCTTTGGTTCTATATATATATCCGCGTACATGTGAGAAACTTGAAAATTTAAAAAATGAGTTGGTGGGGTGCGCCAGGTCCTTGCAGTAGTGCAACGCATGGACGACGCTTGATGAACCCAATAGCAAGCTATTGCAGCGGCTCCTCCCCCTTAAAAAAGTAATTTAATATCATGTGAGTCGATGACTCACGTATCAGATATTAAACTGATAAGAACAGATACTACACTTGATCTTAGCCAAAAGGCCGAGAAAGGTATGAGTTCTACGTCGCCCGCAGCTCTCTTTTTGTAGTACCCTTTTAGCATCTCCAGCATCTCTCCCAGCCAATGTGGGACAAAAGCACCTACTGTCAATACTCTTAAAATCTCTTTTTTCATTTTTTGAACTCCACGCACTGACAATACTCTCGACCTCTGCACATGACCCACCCGCCCACACATTAATTTATATTAATATAATCATCAAGTTTAAATACCACAAAAAGTAAATGGAATTAACACATCACATGAGACATAAATATTTACTTTACTTACTTCATTAAAAGAAATTCAATTTATTAAATCTCTTCTAATTTAGACATATATACATATATGGTAAAGATATATACAATTTATATATGATAAGCTATTATTAAAATCACATATACGGAATAAAACTTATGAACATAATTGTCAAAACTAAAAATGCATGCATCTATATATCAAATATACACACGCAAAAATTGATCAACACGACAATAATCTTAATATTTATGATAAATTAACGACGAAAAGAATACATGAAATCGATAATTTTATTTCGTTTAATAAATTAATCAAAACTCTCTATTAATTTTATTTTAAAAACTTCTTATTAATTAAAAGTAGATATTCAATTTTGTAACATATTGCTGGAGTATGTGGTTATTATTAGTATACAAATAATTATGTATATTTTAATTTAAAAATTATTATTGATTAATATCTTTTAATATAACTTTAAATTATATTATATTTTTTACAAATATAGTATATCATTATAGAATATAATTAAATATAAAATATAATAATACAAAATATTTTATTAAGAGAAATTTTAATCCTGGAAGCCCAACCTACTCAAATAAATTAATTGTCAACCAGTTTGTGTCACTATTTGATAACGATCTACTTTTTCTTAATCAATAAACGATATGGAATACGGAATTGCATTCACGTTGATGAATCTGTACCTTCGTAAATTTCGCATTTTAAGTGCTGATTTTCTACTCTGCCATAATGTTTTATGTGGACTATCATAGTTTTGATATGATCATTTTTTTTTTATGAGAAAGCCTGATGATTTATGGTGGGGAGGCGCGGATATGAGGTATTTTCATGTTCATTAAATTTGTAATACATAGATAAACTTTATTTTAAGCGAACTTCAATATCGTGTGAAGAATCCGACAACATGCTATTGTAGTGGTTCTTCCACCCTAAAAGACTCAGTTTAGTAGCATGCGAGATAGGGGGTTGCAATAAGAAATGGCTCTGGTGGGTCCATCATAAGCCAGGTTCTCTAAGTAGTCAGCGTCTTTGTTGTTCTCCAAATATTTATGTTGTACCTCAACAATCCAGTATTTTATAAGTCAATTTTTAATTGCAAGTAAAAGGCTAGATATCTTTAATGTATTCATCAACGTTAAAGTAGCACACAATAATAAAATTAAGATCACATGTTATGACATTAATCGATTAAACATAGTTATATGTTATATAAGTTTAATTGATGAGTTATTCGGTCGATCTTATCAAGAGCATTATAATAATTATTTTATCTGATTGAAACTTATAAGTAGATGTTATGAGTTCTATTTGAATTATATTTAATTGAGTCTCTTATTTATTAAGTCTACGTAGTTTAAATATAAATAAGTGAAGGAAAAACTTATGGAAGAATGGTTCTCTAAACAGTATCTGAGTATAAATATATTGATACTACTGTAATTGAATCTTAGTTATTTAATTTAGTTTTATTCGAGTCAAATTATGCTCTTATTTATATTTTTATTTGAATATTATTTATTTTGTATCATGATTGCGTGTACTTATATAAACTAATTAATAAACTATACATTTTATATTTTATTTTTAATTATGCAAATATTGTATCTTGATTTTAAAGAGTTACATTCTAATTTGTGTTAGTTTTCTTATATAATGTAATGAAAATTCTAATAATTGAGATAGTGTGTGTGTTTATGTTAATGAAATATGCATATATATATATATATGTAGACATACATATATATGTATGTGATAAGCTATTATTAGAATTAGATATATGGGATAAAAGTTAGGAAGATAATTGTCAAATAAAACAAAAATACATGCACATCATACATGTATGTATATATTACTTGATCAACACAATGATAATCTTTAACGTTTGAGAAATTAATGACGAAAAGAACACGAGAAGTAACTTTTTTATTTTATTTGAAATTATTTACATATTATAAAATAATTGTAATTAAAAATTTTAAAAAATTAATATACAAATAATTATTTGTATTTTTATTCAGAAATTATAACGAATAACAAATTTTAAATATAACTTTACTATAAATTATATTATATTTTCACAAATAAAGTATATCATTATATAGTATAATTATAATTTGGAATGTTTACAATCTTTTCTTAAAACTACAGATCTCAAGCAATTTGAAAGGTGCACTCAATTTCAAATATTAACGTGTATATATATATATATATATGTATATATAATGATTCATGCATCTACACGTGTATATACTCTTATATACATTATTAAGCATTAATTTACAAGGTATTTATCAACCGATATGTTTATATGTTATAAAATATTTAAAAATTCGTAGAAAAGACATAAATGGTATATATAATAATAAATTATTCAAAAACTAACACATTCAAAGTATTTATATATTAATACAGTTTCAAACAAAATTAATTTTATTTTGGTTTTATAGAAAATAATTAATTATATATTTTTTGGTAAGACATATATACATATATATATATATATATACAGCAGAAAAGTAACTGGTTATAGGAGAATATATATTAGGAATGATATATCCTTATTTGGTTAAGTAAATATCGCATGCTTTTGCAATTAATTACTTTTAAACAAAAATGGCTTGCTTAATATATACATATATATATATGGTTAATATACATATATATATATATACGTATGGTTAATATATACATAATATGAATGCGTGATAATTTTGGTTTTTTTTACCATAAATTAATTTATTATGTGGCTGACTTATAAATCACCTGGACTTCTTCTTCTTCTACTCATCAACCAATTCACTTCTCTCCGATCACTCTCTTGCAGGTCCTAATATATATATATATATATATATATTATACATACACAGCACATGCATATAATATATATATATATATATATATAAAGATATAATTCTCATGCTTTGATCATTCTCTTGCAACTTTTCTTTTCGCTTTCACTGTTAAGTTCAGATAAGGTTAAAGTTTCTCTCAGCCACCATTTTATATATACAGAATGAAGCTTGGAGAGAAGAACTTACAGTTTTATTTTCTGCTGGTGCTGCCGTACGCCCTCCTTTTTCCAGGTCTGTTCTTTACACATCATCTATACGTATAATATATATGCATCGTATAAAAATATACATTACAAAAACAATTTTTATAGCCACCCATTATTTATTTTTTAGCAATAATTATTTAAAATGTATTTAAATTGCAATATTCGAGATTGAAAATTCCATATGTTTTAAGTCTATAAAAGAATTTTTTATTTATTATTTTTTCTACTACCTTCCTCCAAGGCCTGGCTAAATATATTTTCATTACAATATAATTTCAATATTATATTTATTTTAAATATTGAGTTTTTTTTATAAATATTATAAATTAAATTTTAATAATTTATCTGTTAATTATTTATTTATAGTCAGTAAATGACCAAATTATTCATTTATAATTAGTGAATGGTATGTATTTTATAACTTAATTATAAATAACAACTAAAATTAATTTTAGCAGGACTGGAGACCAATGCTCTATCCTACGATTACACAGCTAGTATTCAGGTAATTAGCTTAAACCTTGGACCTAATTGAATATCAGTTTTATAACATTATACTGCACCAGAACAATCATTATATACGTTTATATATATATGTATATATATATATAGATATATGTATAAGTATTTGTCTGTTAATTAATTAATATTTAGATTTGGGTATAAATTCCCTGTTTTTTTTGGTTTTTAATTTAAACAATAGTGTTTGGAGAATCCTCAAAAAGCACAATATGGAGGAGGAATCATCACAAACCCAGAGTTGAATCAAGGGTTGAAAGGCTGGTCAACTTTTGGAGATGCAAAAATTCAACACAGAGTTGCAGGATCTAACAGCTTCATTGTGGCTCATACCAGGTCTCAACCCCATGATAGTGTCTCCCAGACCCTGTACTTGCAAAGCAACAAGCTCTACACTTTCTCTGGTATATATATATATATACGTACTCCTTTTTCCGCTTTGAATTGCTCTTATTTCTTTTTCATATATAAGTTAATTTAGTAAACAAGTATATGGGTATTGTTATCATGTGTATGTTTATATATACATGTATATAATATTAGCGTTTAACTTATATATATATGTGTGTGTGTGTGTGTGTAGCCTGGATACGAGTAAGTGAAGGAAAGACTCCTGTAAAGGCTATTTTCAAAACAAAGTCTGGGTACAAATATGCTGGTGCTGTTGTGGCTGAGTCCAATTGTTGGTCCATGCTTAAAGGTGGTCTCACTGTTGATGCATCAGGTCCTGCAGAACTTTACTTTGAGGTACTTAATTCTCTTTTAATATTTTTTCCTGTTCATATATATACATATGCACGTGTGTATATATATATATGTGTATTGATTCATGGGTACTCTTGATATTTGTATTTAGACTGATAACACATCAGTTGAGATTTGGATTGATAGCATTTCACTCCAACCATTCACTCAACAAGAATGGAAATCTCATCAGGATCAAAGCATTAAGAAGGTAATTAACTAATGTTCTTACATATTATAAGAAAATGGTAAATTAATTATGATTAAAGAAACTAATTATAATGATATTAGCAGATTAGAAAGAAGAATGTGAGAATTCAAGCAGTTGACAAGCTTGGGAATCCTTTACCCAACACAACGGTCTCAATATCACCAAAGAAAATTGGTTTCCCATTTGGGTGTGCTATAAATAGAAACATTCTGAATAACAATGCATATCAAAGTTGGTTTTCATCTAGATTTACAGTGACAACATTCGAGAACGAAATGAAGTGGGCGAGCACCGAACCAAGTCAAGGCCACGAGGACTACTCAACAGCCGATGCCATGGTTCAATTCGCTAAGAAAAATGGCATAGCAATCCGTGGACACAACGTGTTTTGGGATGATCCGAAGTATCAATCAGGATGGGTGAGTTCACTCTCACCCAATGATCTTAATGCTGCTGCAACAAAAAGAATAAATTCTGTGATGAACAGATATAAAGGTCAAGTTATTGGTTGGGATGTGGTTAATGAAAATTTACACTTTTCTTTCTTCGAAAGCAAGCTTGGTGCAAATGCTTCCGCTGTGTTTTATGGCGAAGCTCATAAGACTGATCCATCAACAACATTGTTTATGAATGAATATAATACTGTGGAGGATAGTAGAGATGGACAAGCAACACCGGCTAAGTATCTCGAAAAGCTGAGGTCGATCCAATCATTGCCTGGTAATGGTAACATGGGGATTGGTCTCGAGTCTCATTTCAGTAGTAGTCCTCCAAATATTCCATACATGAGATCAGCCATCGACACTCTCGCTGCCACTGGATTACCTGTTTGGCTTACAGAAGTCGACGTTCAAAGTGGTGGAAACCAAGTAAGTTAATCTATAACTCTTTATCATTTTGTAGATTATAAGAAGATGGATAAATTTCAATTCGACCCGTTGCAGTATAAGATTTTTCAACTTAGACCTTATGATTTTTTCTTTAGTAACTCACTATTTCGTAGTTTAAACGTTAATCAAACTCACTACCTATGGTTGCAGAAGAGTTGAAAGAGAAATAAACGACAAATTTATCAAAGAAATTGGTTAATCAATTTGGTTAACATCTAAACTACGATACAGTGAGTTGACAAAGAAAAAAGTTACAAAATCTGAAGCTGAAAACTTCAAACTATAAGGGTCGGACTGAAATTTTTATTTAGATCTGTGAACTTATCTGTGGTTTTAATTCAGGCGCAAAGCTTAGAACAGATTCTAAGAGAGGCACATTCGCATCCGAAAGTGAGAGGGATTGTAATATGGTCAGCGTGGTCACCAAACGGATGTTATCGTATGTGTTTAACCGACAATAACTTCCACAACTTACCAACCGGAGATGTTGTCGATAAGCTTTTGCGCGAATGGGGCGGCGGCGCCACCGTTAAGGGCAAAACTGATCAGAATGGTTTCTTTCAGAGCTCACTCTTCCATGGAGATTATGAGATCAAAGTCCAGGTCAACCACCCATCAAAGTTACCTTCTTCCTCATCTCATCATACCTTCAAATTGAATTCAACAGATGATGAATCCAAACAAACAAGATTACTTCTCATTAAAGTTTAATTACTTATTTCTAACGACCGTAATTTTTGTTTTGCTATATGCTTTCATTACAAGCTGTTCGCACAGACTGTACCTTGAATCAGCTTTCGTTCATTGAATAAAACTATTTTTTCATCGATAATCCATGGTTACCCAATATAGTAATTTAACTTAAATTTTTTAAAAAGATTATTTTTTAAAATGGAAATTAAAGATTTGAGATAAAAGGTCCTGTAACTCCCACCCAAAAGTTAACTGTTCACGTGTTGAACGCTTGGAGTATGAGTCAGAACGAGAGGAAGTACACAATCAAAACACGCAACTCAATTACTTTCACTGCCCTGCAAAATTTCTTCTTCTCATCCATCTCTTCATTCATCTGCTTCCTACAAAATTCAAACAAACCAAACATCAAGGTAACTATTTTCACTCTTCCTAATTTCCAACTTCAGTTTTCTTCATCCTTTTCTGCTTCCATTTTCATATGATTAACTCTACGGTTGTTTACATATGTGGGTGTGTATATATATATATATATATATATATATATATATAGAACTCAAATGATGCGACATACCTAACGAAATTGAGGATTCGATTTCAAGTTTTAACCTTACTTCTTGCAAAGTTTAACTTTTTCATATCTCACCGATGTTCTGATGGTGTTTTTTTTTTCCCTCTATCTGAAAAGTTACTGAATTTATGCTTTAAGATATAGACTGTAAATACATAGTGGATTTATCAATTATTCTAATTTATAGGAGTTAGTTATCTTACTAGATGTAGATGTTTGTGTATGTGTGTGTATTTTTTATAGTATATTTTTTATTTTAATTATTATAAATTTATTTTAAGCGTATGATATTTTAAAAATAAAATTTTAAATATACGAATGTACAAATAAAAAATTTTAATTCTAATTTGTAGAAATTAGATCCATATCTTTATCGATCTTTCTCACGTACGTGTTTAGACATATAAACGTATATTACCTTTTTTTCTTAAAAAAAAAAAAATAAGATCTGGTAGAATTTTCAATATGTTATGATTGCTCAAATTAAGAAAAACTAATTGCCATGTAATATTTTTCTTACTTAAAAATATAATAAACTCGTTAAAATTTATTCCAATTTGATCACCACATTTCCACAAATAGTATATAATGAGTTAAATAATCAGTTTCATTGAATCGAATACTATAAATTAATCGTCGTTAGTTTATAATGCACTCGTAAAGTGATCGTTTTTAAATCATTACTAAAAATTAGACTCATATTTAGATAGAACCACGAAACTTTTAACTATGTAAATTAGCGTATTGTATTGTCGGTACAAATGTATAGAAGCCCTCAAAATTACATCTTGGCTTGGGTTATTGATCAATAGGACCATTAAGCCAAAGTGGGTTAGGCTTTTTTTTTATTCTAGTGGGCTTGGTAACATTTTATAAAATTTTAAAATATAAATTTATGTGTTGAATTGAAATAAAATATGTAATTAAATTATAACACTTATTTGTTTATTATTATTATTTTGTGTGTGTGTGTGTACATATAATATTATTATTTTATTTTATTATATTTTTATTATAACTTTTGATTTTTCCCTTTATTTTTTTTATTTTTATTTTTAATCCCAATGAGAAATCTTTTTACCTTTCTGACTATGTTTATGCAAGAACTTGAGTGTACCATTAGGTGGATTGATTTGTTACCATGACTTCACACTTTCTTTATCATTAATGCTATGTATCTTTATGGGAAATTAATAATATTTATATAGTTTGATTGACAAATTATAGTATTTATTTAAATAATTAAGAAATTTCTTAGATATATCATTGTAAAATTTTTCATGTTGATTTGTCTCATTGTTATTTAATTTTTGTGATTTTTTAAATTATAATTTTAGTATTTTGTAATTTCTTTTTCATTATATATATATATATATATGTAACACTAGTTTTTCAAAGGACATCTTAACATTAATTAAATGTAAATTAATTTATAGCTTTAAAAAAATTTTATTTATTAGATATAATAAAACCCAAGTAGAACGAGTTTAATTTTTATATATGTTATTTCGCGAATGCAACCCTAAATAATACCCGATTGATTTAGGAAAAGAATTTCTAAAATTTTATTAATTAAAACTTAATTTCGATCAATGAATATTAATTAAGAAATTATTCTGATTACCACTAAAAACTTGAAAAAAAAAATTAAAAATTAAAATAAATCTCATATTTCCAATTTATACAAAATTTTATCCTAATAAAACTTTTATGAACTTTTTGGGAAAAGAAAATGAATTTAAAAAGAAAATTAAAGGAATTATTTATTTAATTGAATCCTTTTGACATATCTACTCAAGGATTTCCATCTCTTGCCCAATTGTGCATTTCTCAAATTTACATTAAATTTCCAAATTCAGAAAACACAACTACCTGCCAATCCAAAATTAATTATTTTTAAGCTTATTTTAATTAAATTATTACGCAGCAATTTCAAATCCAACAATTTCTTCTGTCTATATAAATCCGAAACTGAGTCACGGGGGAACAACCAGCAGCCAATAATTTTGAATGGTGATTTTACACTGCCTAAGTTTTTGTGTTCATACATTTTTTTTTTTTTCTCTTTTGAAGTTTCGATTATTTTCTTTCTGTCTTCATTTTTGATGGTCGTGCTGATAATTTCTGCATTCAATTTCAGTGAGAAGCTGGGTTTTCTGAGAAAATGAAGATCTTCACTTTGCTGGTCTTCTGCATTTTTCTATCTTCAGGTCTCTCTCTCTCTCTCTGTTCTTCTCTCAGTGTGCTTATGCTTCTAAATTTTATAGATCCGAAGAATAGTGGGTCTATTGGATTCGAGTAGTTTTATATCCGTTAATTACTCACCAATCGTACGAGTGAAACTATTACTATATTAATGAGATTGCAGTGAATAAATTATAATACGATCTTACCATATTTGTTATACTTTAAAATGAAAAGAATATTTCGTGGGGGTTAAATTTTTTTAGTCATGGTAACCGCAACGAATTAAAAGTTCAATCTAATTCTTTAATTTTCGGGAAAAAAAAAAGAATCGGCACCCATATATAAGTCAGAATAGTAGAGTAGTACCGCAGTGACAGTACCTTATATCATATTTACCTCTCTAGATAGTATAAACAATTTTCGCCTGATGTTTTTTTTTTGATATTGTATTGCTTTCGGTTGGGACAGGCGACAGTACCAGTACTTTCTCCTACGACCATTCAGCAACCGCAGAGGTATGTAACAATTTCTCTTGGTGATGCTGGATTTTTATTGAAGATTTGAAAGAAGATCATTGTGTTTGTGTGATCTGTTTTGAGCAGTGCTTGAAAGAGCTGGAGAGAGTTCAATACAAAGGAGGAATAGTGTATAATCCTGAATTCAATTATGGGTTAGAAGGTTGGACAGAGTCTGGAGGAGGGGCAAAAAGAGAAGTCAGATCAAAAGGAGGCAACAAGTTCATTGTGCTGCATGATAGAACAAAATCATTTGACAGTTTATTGCACAATGTTCAACTTCAGAAAAGCAATATCTATAGTTTTAGCGGTAAGAAAACCTTTTCTCTTTTTCGATTACAACTTATGGGTTTGAATCGGGTTATATATTTTTAAGTGTTTATATTAAGAAGCTATGTTATGATTGGTGTGTATGTGTAAGTTATTTAATAAAATGTATGTTTATATCTCTTTACGAACTTTTTCTGATTTAAACTGAATCGCGTAAATGATCTTAACTGCGTAATCAGCTTGGGTTCAAACCAATAAAGGAACCGAGACTATTGCTGTTGTATTTAGAACTCCTTCTGGAGGAGAGATTATTGGTGGAAGAATCGAGGCTAAACATGGATGTTGGTCTTTGCTAAAAGGCGGAATGGTTGCGAATTTCTCAGGGTCTGTTGATGTTCTTCTGAAGGTAATCTTGAATTTCAATTTCCAATCAGTTTTAATTTGTAATTAGTCACATATTTTTTCTTTGGGAATGTAAGCATATATTTCCTTACAATATATGCAGACAAAACATAAAGCAGTGGATATATGGGTGGACAATGTGTCACTACAGCCTTTCACCCCACAACAATGGAGATCCAACCAAGAGAAAATCATTGACAAGGTAATTGTAAAAGCATCGTACCCATAGAACTTTTTTCGCAATGTAGTTTTGCTCGATACTAAATCTCTACTTTAAAATTTTATTCTTAATTTTAAATTTTAAAAAACGATCATGTCTTTTCAATAACTGAATTAATTAATTTAAATTTTTACTTATTGTTGAAGATTCGGAAGAGCAAAGTAAGATTTCGTGTAAGTACTGTGAATGGAACGATAGTAGAAGGTGCTGAAATCTCAATCAACCAAGTGAAGTCAGATTTCCCGTTCGGGTGTGGGATGAACTATCATATCCTCACAAGCCAAGACTATCGAGACTGGTTTTCGTCAAGATTTAGATTCTCCTCTTTCACGAACGAAATGAAATGGTATAGCACTGAGAAAAAACCGGGGGAAGAGAACTACACAATCCCTGATGCCATGATGAGTTTCTGTAGAGAAAATGACATATTTGTGAGAGGTCACAACATACTGTGGGACAATCCCAAAATGCAGCCTAGTTGGGTCAAAAACCTTCCTTCTGATGAACTTCTTGTGGCAGCAATTAGAAGAACAAACTCTGTTGTTTCAAGATATAAAGGACAATTAATCTGCTGGGATGTGATGAATGAGAATTTGCATTTCAGATTCTACGAAGACAAACTTGGCGAAAATGCTTCTGCAATTTTTTACTCGTTGGCTTACGGTCTTGATTCATATACCTCCATGTTTATGAACGAGTATAATACGATCGAGTTGGGTAAGGACGCTTCTTCAACTCCTATCAAATACAAGGAGAAGATCCAGCAACTTCTGTCATATCCAGAAGTTAAAGGCATGTTAGCAGGAATAGGATTGCAGGGCCATTTCAATGATGAACAACCAAACATTCCCTACATAAGGACTGCTTTAGACATTCTGGGCACCACAGGAGTTCCTATATGGCTTACAGAAGTGGATGTTGAGAAAAACCCAAATCAGGTCTTATACTCTCACACTCTAATATCTTACTTGCTCACCAAGTAACTCAAACTCAAAAGTCGAAGAAGTTTGGAGCTCGACATGCTAATTGCATTTGATTCACATGAGATGACACTCTTATGAAAGTTGATAACTCGGGTTCGGATATAAACCCATTACTGATTCTTGTTTGTTTGTTTTTACAGGCAGAATATCTAGAAGAGATATTGAGAGAAGCATACTCACATCCTGCAGTAGAAGGGATAATCATATTTGGAGGACCAATAGTAGCTGGGTTTAGTAACATGACATTAGCAGATGAAAATTTCATGAACACACCAACTGGGGATGTAGTTGACCAGCTGATCAAAGAGTGGAGGACTGAAAATCAAACAGCACTGGCTGATAATCAAGGGTTCTGTGAGATTAATCTCTTTCATGGAGATTATAAGGTGACTGTGAAACATCCATTGACCAATATTTCTAGTGCTTTTGATTTGAGGGTCACCAAGCAGATTCCTAGACAATCCGTCAATATTCAGATTGGAAACATATAGATATATATTAATATCCTCTCCATCATTTTGATGTTGCACTAGATTATTGAAAGAGGTTAATGAAATATTCCTGAAGTACAACCTACAGACTTGCCTCTTGATCATCTCCGTAAAACGTCGTCGTATGGATATTAAGCACAGACAGCGTTTGCACATACAGCAATTTTCTTGATCATTTTTCTTTTTATATACATATATATATATATATAGATATGTTTTGCTTTCTCTGATAACTTTAATTAAATGGCATATAAATTAATCAATGATTAAGGAAAAATTACAGAACTAAATTAATGATCCCCAAAAAGAATATAATATAAAAACAAGAATAACTCGGACGAGGAAACATAGAGAAAAAGAAAACGTCACCGTCTCGGCCTTAAGGAACGAATGCAAGAAAGAGCAGTGATGAAAATGGCGAATACGATAGAACTCACGTCATCAAAAATGGCTGCAAACCTCATTTCTTGCAGATCCCAAATGGTCGAAACAAACAGATACATCCCCTCCACAATCTTCACCAACATTCTCGTTCCAAAATTTTCCTCTCTCCCAAACAGAAAATCTATACCCACAACTATAATTTACATATATATATATATATATGCAGAAAAAAACTATACGTACATGTATAATATTCACGAAGAAATTAAAGTCTCAAAAATGAAAGCTGCGACCTATATGGTTATATATATAAGGGTATTGATCACTCGGTGGGGGACCTATACATATCACAAATATACACCATAGCTACCATATATATACACACATAATATACATACGTGTATATTCATAATTCAGAATGGAAAAAGAAAGAACCAAGTTTTGAGTTTTGGTGGGTTTCCAGGACGTTTCGTTCTCTGACAGAAGCGGGGTCCTCAGTTGTCGTAAGCTCACTCGTGTTATGGTGGCTGGCTGATGCCTCTGTCTGCAGCAGAAGGAAATGGGATTGCACGGTACGTGCTGCCAAGTGTATTGGAATAGAGCCCTTAATTTTCTATTGACGTGTAAAATATATATTACTTTTATACTAAAGTGTAAATATAATTATATATTATGTGTTTTTTTAATATAAATTCATATATTTACAAACACATGTATCACTATCATAATATACAAAAATTTACAACTTTGAATTTTTTTTATTGTGGGTCGACTGTTATATTTGATATTTTTATTAACTTATAGATAATTTTATGTATGAATTTATATTCTTTTGTTACTTATAATTAATGATACATGTCACATTTATTATTTTTAAAAAACAAGAATTGACTATCTCATAATAGTTAATGTATGTGTGTGTATATATATATATGGATATTATTGTTAAGGGCTAATATTGTTTTACCAATTATTTTTTTTAAAGAATTTATGAATTAAATTAACGAATACATATAATATATTTATTTCGAATCAAAGGAGGGTGCCAGGCGAAATATTCACGGATGACAACGACCAGCTAATTGACCTTCCGTGGGCGCTGATGCAAAGAGGACAAAATTACGTTTCACAAAAGTTAAAACGACAGCGTTTAATTCCACCTACTATCTCTCATGTTAAATACAATAACCCGCTTCATCTAAGGCGCGTGTTGAAATCTTCACCAATGACCGACAAAAGCGGCAAGTAAATAAGTACACGATTGGCTGAAACCTTCACGCACTTCAGACGACGCGTGGGAGAAAAACCGAACATTCCTCACGTTGACTGTACGTTATGAGTACCGTCATTATTATTCTCTCTCGCGCTGTTTGTTTTCGAAATAAAGTGCTTAATCTTTTTGTTAATAGACGAGCGAGCAGCTTTTCACAGATCATTTTTAGCTCAAATTCGAAACCTTGATTTACCTGGTGATTTCTTCCTGTGATTATAGCACGAAAATGGGATTATGGGAAGCTTTTCTCAACTGGCTGCGAAGGTAAGTGCTCTCTCCGTGTTTGGTGCCCGAGAAAATAGAAAAAAAATGGAGATGCTTAGTTGTTGAAAACGATAATCTGCAGTTAAATAGAGTTAAACCTAATTAGAGCAACGTAATTGACGATACAGCTGATTGCAAATTTCTTTTTGGTCGTTGAAGTTTTGACCGGAGATTTTTTCGTGGTGGATAAGAAATTCTGTTAGAAATGATTTTGTTTTTTAAATTTCAAATAGAATTTACTGCGTAGTAAGTTATGATCCAAAAATTTAATGCTTAGTTGTTTTCTCGTGGTAATTGATTCTCGTTCTTGCACTGATTAGTATGCTTTGATTTGATAGCAATGGTATTGCTGTTGCTGAAGTTCAAAGGAAGTGGTAAATTAGGAGAAACAAGTAAATATATACTGCTAGGGATATGTATGGAATTATGACTGCAGCTTCCTAAAATCCTTTGATGTTATTGTTGCCAAGTAGCCAGAGGTTGAATTCTCATTTGGAGGTTTGGTTGCAGTTCTGTCCTTGTTGTGAAAGAGTCCAGTGTAATATTGTGAATTGAACACAGAGGTCTGTGGATATGGTGTGATACCTGAAGATGTTTAGATTGTAGTTTTAGTAGATTTTCTAAAAAAGTCATCTCTCCTCATCAGAGATCGTGATGTTGTCCTTAAGGGAGAATTTGGTGGTAGAATGTCTACTGGTCTCTTCATTTATCAATTTTATGTTTTGGTCTTGATAATTCCTCTGGTAGTTTATCATCATGTCATGTGATGGGCTGATCTCTAGAGTAATATATAATGTTCTTGACTCACTCAGGATTTTCAATCATGCAAGTCTGAGCATATATGTATCTCTCTGGTCTCGATTTTCAAAAATGCCGATATTCTAAATCACTGAGTTATATATAAAAATGCCGGGTCATGGCCCATTAGTTTGTGCAGTATCTGGATGATGCTAGTAAACTATTGTTAGGATCCGTAGATCCCAACGTGTTCTCACAAGAAACCCAAAATACCGGAATTGAAGAAAATGACCCAGTCAACCGCACGTGCGCCAACCATCCCTACGGAACTGGTCCACCATATCCACATTCAGCCAATTCCACTCTGCAGCAGCTCTCCACAATGGAAGTGGACCATTATCCCTTATCTCTTTCTTTGGAAATCATGTTCGTAGAAGTAGGAAGTAGTTATTAGCTTGTAATTCCTCTTTGGCTATTTAAAGCCTCGACATGTGAATGAAAAGCAAGTAGAAAATCATTCCAAATTCTGGGTTCTTTTCTCACCTTAAGCAGAAAACATTTTTCTTTCCTTCAAGCTTTGATTAAGACCTAACAACTATCTGTTGAATCACTGTGATTCTAATGATATTCTAGGGAAGTCTAAAAAAGATTACTGTCCAAGCTTGCCAACTGAAAACAAAAGGGTGGTTTGGGCCGGTACATTTTAGAGGTGACAGGAAGATTTAGGTGCACGATACAGAGCAATAACTTTCTAGGACAATCAACACTTAGTTGCTTTACTAGTATTGACTATATTTTATGAAAAATGAAGGACACCTATATCACATTCTTAGCTACCAGAGCTCTAGATTTTAGTGAGAGGTGGGAGCCTAAACAAAAGGTGAAAATATCTAGCGTGAGGCCACCAAGCCTAGCATTGATGCAGCAATGTCAAGCATCTGCAACTAAAAGCTTTACATAAGTGATTCCATGTCTTTGGACAGTAGGCAATTTAACAAGCACAAGTAGTGTGTTTTTCTACTGCTTGTATGATTATGTGAACCAACAAATTAAAATGAACTTCTTTCTGATTGCAGTCTCTTTTTCAAGCAAGAAATGGAACTATCTTTGATAGGCCTCCAGAATGCAGGGAAAACATCACTTGTGAATGTAATTGCAGTAAGTAAATGTTCGTGTAGGAGTTGTAATTTCTTCTTAACAAGTTTGAAGTTCTTTCTAATATTTGTTTTTCCCTTTCAATATTATCTTTGGTGCTGATGGCTGAATGTATCTGGTTCTTGTCTGAAGACTGGTGGATATAGTGAAGACATGATTCCCACGGTGTGTCATCATCCCCACAAGTTTTTCTCTTGTTTGGATGGGAAGTTCTAAAAGTTCATAGATGTGCAAACTTTGCTTATGACTAAAGAATATCCTTCTTGCTGCAGGTTGGATTTAATATGAGAAAGGTAACTAAAGGAAATGTCACTATAAAGTTGTGGGATCTTGGAGGTCAACCGAGGTTTCGCAGTATGTGGGAGAGATACTGCCGTGCTGTTTCAGTTATTGTGTATGTTGCTAAAAGCCTAACATCATTGGCTGCATGCTAAGAGTTCTTCTTTGAATGACCTGAGCTCCTTCCATTTTAAAAGTTTCTCAAATTTTATATACCATCTTACCATAACTTATGTTCTGGTGTCAAGTCATTGAAAATTAATGTCGAAATTATAAATTATTTTATTTATTAATTTAAATTTAAATAAAATTTATTTTTAATTAAATTTAAAACATATTTATTTAAAAAAATTATGTTATTAGTGGGAGTTTATTTTTTAAAAAATTTAATTTATATTTATCTCTTAAATAGTTATAAATTATTTTTTAAAAATTTGAATTTGATTGAAACTTAATTAAAAATATTTTAAGTTGTTA